GAGGGTGAGAGCATAAAAGGGGTAGGAGAGCAAAAGGGGTAAGAGAGTAAAAGGGGTAAGAGAGTGAGGTTCCCATCACAATACAATAAATCTTCTGTGTTGAATATTCTGATTCTCACTAACCAATCTAGTACAAGATACAAATCCTATGGCATTTACGTACAGCCTATAGGAATCACTACATTACCATCCTGTGTTACATTTTAAACTCTAAAAACTCCTCTTTGGGCCCCTTCTGCCAAGCTGTAGGGTCTGCTCTGTCCCTTAGACCTGTCTGCAAGCAGAGGGTATTGTTTCATCAAAAAGATATCACCTTCAGTCAGCCACACTTTGTTTTCCAGTTGTTCAGTAACTAAGGGATCTCAAAGCTTGCTTTCATTTCAATCTCCCTTATAGTTTCTATATTCTCAAAATCTTTTGCCAGACAATCATATTTATAAGGGCCTTTCCTGTGTCATCTTCCCCAACAACACCCCCCTCACCCCTTCCCTCTGTTTGCAGCTGCGGCCAAATTCTCTGCAGAGACGGACAGCGTGGAGGAGAACTACGTGTGAATCGTCCCTCGGCCGAGCTGGGAGACAGGGGCATTATGTGTATATTGTACAAACCATATACCTGATATTTATTAAGATTTAAAACGATCCTTATTTATCCCTGTGTATGTTAAGCAGTCGCAGGGGGCTCCATTCCCATCCTGCCAGCCAGGGAGCAGGGGAGGGGGCTCGAGGTGCCCAGGGATGCTCTGGTGCCTTCCCCTGCTGCCAGTGCAGTGTGGAGGGGTGTCCGTGGGCTCCCCCCACGTGTCCTTGGCCAGCAGCCCTGGGCCTATTTATTTTTGGATGAATTCTCGGTACTCTGCTGACGTTTCTGGCCAGGAGCTCGAGGTCTAGAGGGAATCTGCACTTTCGCCTTCCCCGAGGGGCTCGGCCCCAGCAGCAAGTGGCAGGAAAGGCAGTGCACGCTGCAGCAGATTGGAGAGAGATAGATATATATTTTTATATATATATATATAAAAACATATCTATGTTATTGTCTCCTAAAGTTTCAGCACGTGTGCGTTCAAGCGGATTTCAGTTTAGGTTTTAAGTGGATTTCAGTTTAGGTTTTTTTCCTAGGCCCGTTCAGACCAGGCTCCCACCAGCTTTGGAGGTGATGCCAGTGCCTGGAGGGCTGGGACAGTGGCAGCCCTGCCTGGGGGGCACAATCGTCCCCCTACTAGAGCCCATCATCCATGGCAGCTGCCCCCAGCCCCCTAATCCCTGCCAGAACAGCTTTGGGCACAAAGGGGAGCTGGCCCTGTCCCCCCCCAGGACCCGCACCCCCTGCTCTGCCCACACCTGTATTTATTTTCACTCCTTCTCTCATTTCTTCCGTTGTCACCTGTGTAAATACCAGCTCAGCTCTGACACCAAAAAAGCTCTTGACTTTATATAAATATCATATATATATTATATATAAAAATACCTTATTTTCTATTTTTGTATGACTGGGTTCTGACCCCCAAGGTAGACGCTTTGGGAACATCCACATTCCCTATTCCATATTGTTGGGGCATTTTATGGCTGTGTTATGATTTGGATTGCAATTAAAAACCAGAATAAACAGTGCTGCGTGTCTGGTTTTGTTGGCAGGTGCTGGGGTTGCAGGAAACTTTGTTCTCCTTGGGGTTGTGCATCTATAAGAGGGTTTGGAGATGTGGGGAGCCCCCCAAAGCCATGAGGAGCTGCATCCCATCAGCTCCAGCTCCACGCTGGGCTTTTCCAGCCCAGCAGTGGGAGGGAAGGGGAGAGCGGGGAAGAGCCCGGCAGATAAATCTGTTCCCAATCTCGGGCCGTGCCATGAGGGTTTGGTATTTCACAAAACAATTCCTGCCGGTAATTGGGTCCCGATGTGGGATGTTTCCCGGGCAGCAGCCTGCGGCTTGGCGTGCTGAGCTCCACAGGAACTGCAGCCGGATCCCCGGTGCTGAGGGGCGGGTGGCACAGCCCTGACCCCCGGCTAATCCCCCCCAGAGCCATCACTGAGAATTATTTAGCTTGGAAAAGTCATCTCAGACACCCAGGGTGGGCACGGGGGGTTCTGCTGCATCCCCTCTGTTCTCGCCCAGCTCAGCTGCATCCTGCTGTTTTTGGGGGTGGGTGTTCAGGAGTTCTCAAAACACTGCCCATACTTTTCTAGGTGCCTTTCCAGGCACCTCAGCCTGGCTCCAGCCATG